CCCCCCCTTCTCCCCCTTTTTTTTTTTTTTCTTTTTTTAAAAAAGGAAAGCCCAAAAAAAAAAAAAAGAGGAGGGTTTTTTTTCGGGTTCTTGGGCTGAGGTTGCATCATCTGAGATCGATCGACTGCGGGAGAGTCTGAGACGAGTCCAAAAAAAGGGCTGACTCTGCTGGACTGAGAGTGCACCGCCCTAAATCAAAGACCAAAAAAAGAAGAAAAGAGAATAATACCCACGAGTGCAGCGAGGGTGAACTGTGTCGGAGTCACTGTCTGTTGATTGGACGAGTCTGTCGATGTCACACCAGGAACCTCATCCATCCATTCATCCAACCAAGTTGAAGTGATTCACTTATTAGACTGTACTGAGAAGTGTTGTGTGTTCATGCCTTACAGCAAGAAGGTCAGTCGTTTGATTCCTGGTGGTAACTGTTCCCATCTTCAGTGGAGGTCTTCTACTGATACCCCTGGTACCCCAGTTCAAACATTAGGCTGATGAACATTAGTTAACCAGTAGTGACCAGTTAACCAGTAGTCATTAGTTTAAAAAAAGAGGTTGTTAAGTGGTTGCATCTAAATGGGAGTCAGGTGGTTGTTGTTGTTGTTGTTGTTGTCGTTGTTGTTGTTGATGATGATGTCTCGTTAAGCTGTAATCTGTCTGTCATTATCTTGACATAAAGTGGTCTCACAGGACGTTCGACTGTCAACACAACCTGGTCCGCGTCACAGCTAGCCTCTGTAACGATGGCATCTGTTTATGGTGACGTTATAACATCGCAAAACAGCACAAAATACAAACATTAGTTTTTACCAGAAATTCAATCACGCTGTATTTTCCTCTAAACGTGATCACAGTTGACCAACTCGACTCCCTGTTCTGCTTTTTTTTTCTACTGCTGCTTCAAAACGAACTTTGATTTTATATCTCATTTTATATTTTGCAGTGAAAATAGAGAATTTCCTGGTACGTATCTGAGTGGTCGCGTAGTGAGCGGCGTAATCTGCAGCAGGTGTCAGCGCGTCGTTAAGGATCAGTTTTATGATTAAGTAGAAAAGACATCACTCGTGTTTTATGCTGCGCCATAAATCACCCCACATTCCTAAGTACAGAGGACGGACCGTGTGCATAAATTTTAGTAATGGTTTTCCGACCCAGTGCGGAACATCCATCTTCGGCCGCCGCTCCATTAGTTTACATGCAGCACGATTGTTCAAAATGATAAACTGGCAGGAAGTTTTGGGTTTTTTTTTGTTTTTTTTAACCTAGTCCGACATCAGTGTTTTATCATTATTATTGGTAGTTCAATTAGGACTGGTGTTGTTGGCCTCGACGACACAGGAATGAAAGTCAGGAGAGATAATGGGAACAACGTGTGAATAAAAATTGGCTCCCCACCCCTCCAGCGCCCCCCCCTCCCCATCAGTCTGGACTAAAAACTCTGTTAGAAAATCTCTGACCGTCGTGTTCACGAAGGTAAAAAAAAAATAGAGTCCGACTGACACATTGATTATTCCCGACGCTTCAGGCCCGTGACTCGCGCTGTGGTTTGTTAGCGGCTAGTTAGCCCGCGTGTCAGGATGATAATAATGTACTGGCAGAGAGCAAGACAAAATGGTGCTGTCAGGAAGTCGCGTTCTGTCGTGGAATAAAGAGAACAGGGTGTGATGGAGGGAAGCAAACATTAGAGAATTAACAAACACACACACACACACTCTCTCTCTCTCTCTCTCTCTGCCTCTCGCCCTCCTATGCTCAGAGTTTTTCCCCTTCTACGTCTCCAAGGAAAAAAGAGCAACTGGATGGTTAATTACAACGTGTCTCACAGCAACTGTAGAAAAGTGTGTGTGTGTGTGTGTGTTGTCCTGCTGTAGTATTTGCTGTCAATCATGTCTGGTTTTTTCCCCAATATTTTGCTCAGTTAATATTTGTTGTAACCTAGAACTAATTAAAGTTAAAGTTGACGTTGATGTCACTGTCGGCCGCGCGGTGGAGGAGTGGGCGGTGATGTCGCTGTACATATATGACCAGGTCCACCTCTGTGTGGAACCGATGTTCTAGTTCAAGAGTTTTACAGATTAAATGTTGTTTAATTTCATTATAACGTGGAAACTGATGGGGGTCAAACATACGGCCCGCAGGCAAAAACCAGCCCGTTAGGGTGTGCGACGTGGTCCAATGGACGAATTTTGAAAATGAAAAAAAAAATACACAAACACTTCATGATCAAGATGTTTGGGATCCAGTCGTTGCTGACCTTGATTTGTACGTTTGAAAAAAAATGAAAACAAGAACTCTTTTTTTTTTTTTCTTTTTTTGCCTGAACATCCCATAATAGATGAGTCTGTAGTGGTGCTGCTCACACACACACACACACACACACACACACCCCCCCCCCCCTTCCCCCCCACCATCCCAGCTTACCCCCCCCCCCCCCCCCCCCCGCTTAGATTCGATGGACGTCCACTCCTCTGGGCCGACGCTGCCGCAGAACGACGTTACACAAACGGAGGCTTTTATCGGGAACCTGAGCTTTTATTTGGATTCACTTTCAGAACATTTATTTTAGGGATTTTAAAAATTTTAAACTGAAGATTTTTTTCTGCCTCAGGAATTGATCCATGTTTTTTATCCAATAGTTTCAAAGACAAGGTTTTATTTATATTTGTCTAAAAGTCAATTTCACCACATGGGAAACTTTAACCTGGTTCTGTTCTGACTGTCGGAGGGTTTTTGGGTTTTTTTTTGGCTACTTTTAGCTATAGCTAGGCTAACATTTACATTCAGTTTTTAGAGCTGATTTTTTTTTTTTGGCTACTTTTAGCTATAGCTAGGCTAACATTTACATTCAGTTTCAGAGCTGATTTTCAGTGAGGTCGTTTTTATCTGCTCTGATCATTTTCACCACAGTTGAACACGAGAAACAAACCAAACAAATTTAACTCTGTTTCCTGTGAAGTTTAATCAAAGGACCAAACGAGGGCTGAAAACAGTGTCCTGTTAAACCACAAACACAGGGATGTGTGTGTTTGTGTGTGTGTGTTGTTGAGGATTTGTTTACAGAAGGTCACTGAAATTCATGACATCATAAAACAACTGATATCTGTGGTGTGTGTGTGTGTGTGTGTCATAGACTGGTGTAACTATCCATGTGGGGACAGCGTTTCATACGTCCCCACTGTTGTCGTACGGTGCTTTATCTACATATGAGGTGTCGCAAAAACACAAAAAACCAGTATACGCTCCTGTGAGGAGACTGTGTAAATACACACTATTCTTCCTCTCATCATCACCAGGCCATAATTCATGGTGGAGTCTCACCCTCCTCACCCTCCTCACCCTCCTCACCCTCCTCACCCTCATCACACACAGCAAACACTGAACTCACTGCATCTAATGGAATATTTAATTTTTTTTTTTGGTCCCTCCTCTCTCTCTCTCTCTGTCTCTCTCTGTCTCTCTCTCTCTCTGCTGCCATCACATTATCCCCATTTTATATAAGACTATGACGCTGTCATTGCTGGGAGCCTCTCTCTCTCTCTCTCTCTCTCTCTCTCTCTCTCTCTCTTTGTTCCTTTGGCTTTCTGATGTTATACGTTTCACCTCACACACACCCACACACTGCTCATTTTCTAATGTGTGTGTGTGTGTGTGTGTGTGTGTGCGTTCCCTCCAGTGGAGCCTTCTCTGAAGTGGTTCTGGCGGAGGAGAAGAGGACACAGAGGCTGGTGGCCATCAAGTGTATCCCCAAGAAGGCCCTGGAAGGGAAGGAGAACAACATCGAGAACGAGATCGCGGTGCTGCACAGGTGACTCCGCCGGGACGTCCGTGCTGCGGCCTCGCTGCGGCGACGCTGCGGCGACGGGGGTCAAGTCGACCGGCAGCTAAATGCACGGTGTCAGTAGGAACAGTGGGATTGTGCACCGGAAATGTCAGGAGTGAAGACCAGAGACCTATTTTTAGTGTCCCTGTTGCCAGGACAACAGCACACAGAGGCGGAGACTGAGTGGAATTCCCCAGCAGTGAAGTGAAGAGAGGGGAGTAGAGACGGAGGGAAGGATGTGGAGGGAACGGTCGGATAGAAGTTCGATCGACGACTAGAGACAGAAAAACACACACATAAAACACACACACAAAAAATAAAAAACTCAGTCGTTTCAGTGAAGATTCGGCCAAATTAATGACAGAGTCACATGATGTCGGCTCCGTCCAATAACAACAGAGATGTTTTTGGCTGAAATAATGAATGACCTCAATCTAAAAAGATGAAAGAACCAGGCGGTGGTTCGTCAGTGTCACCGGTTAACACTGTTTTTAAGACAATGAACCGTATTTTCAGGCACCAGTGCCCTCTAGTGGCTGTCAGTGTAAACATAATGAACAATGTGAAATGATATATTTTAACAAATAAGTCGCACCCACCGAGTATAAGTCGTAAACCAGACAAAGGATGAAGAAAGGTGCGACTTATAGTCCAGAAAATATGTTAATAAAATTCTAATAATTTAATTTTTCTTTTTCTTTTTTTTTTTTCCCAGAATCCAACATCCCAACATCGTTTCCCTGGAGGACATCTTTGAGAGTAGCTCCCACCTGTATCTGGTCATGCAGCTGTGAGTTTCCTGTTTTCATTTTACACATGAACCGACTGACATGTGAAACAACCCGGGTTGTTACCCTGTTGCCCCCGGGGAGGGGGGGGGTATAAACACACATGGGGGGGGGGGGGGGGAGGGGGGTATAAACACACGTTGCCTCTTCTTTTTGTCCATGTCACCTGCAGAGTGTCTGGAGGGGAGCTGTTTGATAGGATTGTGGAGAAAGGTTTCTACACAGAGAGAGACGCCAGTCAACTCATCCATCAGATCTTGGACGCAGTCAAATACCTTCACGACATGGGCATCGTCCACAGAGACCTGAAGGTGGTTTAGCCTTAACTACCGACCAAACCAGACGTGTTTCATTTACTGGATAATTTAACGTAACGTAGCGTAATATAACAGTTTGCTACATTGTGTTTCGAAACCTAACCTTAACCTAGCCTAACCTAACCTAGCCTGGCCTTACCTACCCTACCCCAGCCTAGCCTAGACATACCTACCCTAGCCTTACCTAGCCTAGCCTAGCCTAGACATACCTAACCTAGCCTAACCTAGCCTTACCTAGCCTAGCCTAGCCTAACCTAACCTAGCTTAACCTAACCTAGCCTGGCCTTACCTAGCCTAACCTAACCTAGCTTAACCTAACCTAGCCTGGCCTTACCTAGCCTAACCTAACCTAGCCTAGCCTAGCCTAGACATACCTAACCTAGCCTTACCTAGCCTAGCCTAACCTAACCTAACCTAGCATAGCCTAATGAATAGAGCTATAGTAGAGTAAAAGAAAAAAAAACAACAAATGATAAACATAAATATTTCAGATAGATCAGAAATTCTACTCATATATAGAAATTGAGACGTTAAATTTAAAGTTTCCCGATCAGTTTATTTTGATTTACGTGCAGCCTTTTTGCAGTTAAGTACAATGAGCATTACAATTAATTTTCAAATTCCGAATCCAAAAGTCTGACATCTAAAATGGATGATTAAACTAGTACGGACTAGTTACCTTATTAACTTATTATTAAGGTTGGTTTTATTAACATGGGGCTGGACTGTAAATATAATATTGTCGGCCTGTCAGTCATCTGTGTGTCCTGTGTTCCGTGGGTTTGAAGCCGGAGAACCTGCTGTACTACAGCATGGACGAAGACTCCAAGATCATGATCAGTGACTTTGGTCTGTCTAAGATAGAGGGCGTGGGCAGCGTCATGTCCACAGCCTGTGGGACACATGGATATGTTGGTACGTTTTCAATTTTTTTATTTTTTTATTTTTTATTTTTTTTAAATGTGAGCTTGGCAGCTGGTGTTTGAGTTCCATCTTCATCCTCTGACTCTGCCGCGAGAGACTTTCATCCACGACCGTGAGTCAAATCCAAGTGTTTCATAAGAGCTCTCTCTCTCTCTCTCTCTCTGTCTCTCTGTGTCTCTCTGTCTCTCTCTCTGTGTTGACTGTGATCCATCTCCTCTCATGGTGACACTGAAGGGTCAACGACACTCAAACTCAAACACTCAGACACCGTATTTTTCCAGAATTAACATGCAATTAAGGTTTGAAGCAAAAATCTAAAATAAAATTTCAATTTTGATAATAATAATGATAATAATATAATAATTTTTAAAAAATCTCATTAAAAACATTGGCAGCTTTAGTAAAATTTTTAAAAAATCTCATTAAAAACATTGTCAGCTTTAGTAAAAAAAAAGAAAAATGAAATTATTAGAATTTTATCACCGTATTTTCCGGACTATAAGTCACACTTTTCTTCATCCTTTGGCTGCGTTTACGACTTATATATTAAAATATATAATTTCACACGTTAGTTATTTTCACACTGACGGCCACTAGAGGGCACTCTAGGCTTGTGTACCAGTATCTGCTATTCCTGTAAGTCGCACTTTTTCCCCGTCCCGTGGCTGGTGCGACTAACACGGTTTGTTCTGTGTTTTAAACGTCTGCTGTGTGTGGTTACAGCCCCGGAGGTTCTTGCCCAGAAGCCCTACAGCAAGGCAGTGGACTGCTGGTCTATAGGAGTCATTTCTTATATTCTGTAAGTCTGAGCCTTCCCCTCCAAAATAAAAAGGTAAAAACAAAAAAGGAAATCTGAACGTGATTCACTCTCCCTCCCACAGACTCTGTGGCTATCCTCCATTTTATGATGAAAACGACGCCAAGTTATTTGAGCAGATTCTGAAAGCGGAGTACGAGTTCGACTCTCCGTACTGGGACGACATCTCAGACTCAGGTACCGTCGCTCACAGGAACACCGGACCGAGGTCCAAACTGTCAAAAAAGCCTAGAGTTGACCAGGTGGAATTATTTGTCTTTTCTGCCGACAGCTAAAGACTTCATCTGTCACCTGATGGAGAAGGAGCCAATGAAGAGATACACGTGTGACCAGGCTCTGCAGCATCCGTGGTGAGGAAGACGGTCATCGGAATCATGTTTGACTGGTTTTTTAACGTCTTAAATATGAACACGTTTTATTTTATTTTTGGCTAAATCCTCTAGTTCGCACATTTGTGAAACATTTTTCACATAGTGGCCAGAATAATCACTGCAGGTTTTGTAGTTATTTATTTGGGCATAATTTTTTTTTTTTTGAATTATTAATTGTTTTTTCTTTAATACTGGTTTTAAAGCTAATGTATATGAAAAGTTAAAGGTAGTAAGTAGTAAGTAATATTTTCCAAACATTTATTTTTCGATCCCGATATCAACCGATACCAATATAGTCCTGGTAATATTTGTTTATTTATCTGTACAAACCACTGTACAGATAAAGTGAGTTTCTGGCACCAACATTCTCCGTACAGTCCCCAGATTAATAAAATGAACTGCAATGCTGCCATCTAGTGGCTTTCACTTTCATATACAGCTCCCCTATTACAACTATTTTTAGGTCATTCATCATTTGGTGAAACCCTGGCGTTGTGTTATCGGGTTTCTTACTGATATTACATAATTATGCTAATATCGGGCCGATAATATCGGACATCCCTTGTAGTAAGAAAAAAACAATGTCATTTTAACAGACAGAGGTGGAAAATCAAGGTCTTATTTCCATCTGACAGTAAAAAAATTGGTGATTTTTTAAATAGTCTTAATGTTTCTTTCATTTGTTTAGGAAATAAAACCAAACATATCAATTTTTTTTCCTGATTTCTGAAAAACAAGTCCAAACATGAAATTCTGTAAAATCACTTTTTTTTTTTGCAGGATCTGTGGAGACACAGCTCTGGACAAGAACATCCATGAATCTGTCAGTGCTCAAATCAAGAAGAACTTTGCCAAAAGTAAATGGAAGGTGAGTGGATCACAGCACCACCTGCTGGTGAAAGAGTAGAAC